AATCTTTTTGAGGAAAATCTAACAAGAGGAGTTATGGTGATTAAAACTTCCTTCTTGCTCTTGTGAAATGAAGCTCTTTTTCCAGCTGTTTTCACAAGAAATCATTTCCAGGAGCTTTTTTGGACATGTTGAATGAGCTCCTGATACAGAACTAAAAAGACTAAACGCTTCTAAAGTGCTCCTTGGTACAACTGAACAAGCTGTAGTGCAATTCAGTGGCCCAATCCATTTTAAGTTATTGAGGTGAAGCAGGGATCTCCAGTGAAGGGCTGGTAATCCATCCACTGGGACAGCTGTCCGAAACCAACGTGAGTGTTCCCAGCAGGGTTTTGTGTGGAAAACTGCATTTGGAGGAAGCATGAACGTCAAAATGTTCTGTTTCCATGCAAGTGTCCATTTCAATTAAATCAATTACATACTTTATAAATGATTTCATGGCTTTGAATAATGTCTTGCTTACTGAAGAAGACTCTGTGTGGCATTAGGAACGTTAAACTGAACTGCTCAAGGAAGGAAAAGACACTGATTTAGGGCTCCATAGGTAAAGGTGTATAATTCATTTCCTGTCCTCTCAGGCTCTGTTTATTCTCAGTTTGTATTTACTTTTCCCCTGATCTTTTCTTTCCCTTCACAGCACACACCAATTAACAAAATATTTATTTCATACCTCCAGCTTTGTTTACTTAGGCAAATATATGGCCCAATTTCAAGACAAACACTTTACCCCCACTTAATCAGAAACAAGCACATACTTAGGAGACACCTATTTGAAATACCTACTTCTCTTGATCAGCCCAATTTTCTGAATTTCTGGAAATTTTCAATCCAATGGGACAACTGAAGAGATAAGGAACACAATAGTGAGGACCACAGCTCAAGGACTGAAGATGATATACAAATGCTGTAGCTAACCCATTAAATGATAAAAAGAGCAAAGCAAGATGTATGAGAAAAGATAATCTACTTTAACCCAGGCAATTTAATTGGAGATGAACAGGCAACTTTTGCAATGTAAGCTCTTGTCCAAGTCACTCGAAAAAAAGTCCTGAAAATGTACTCAGAATAGACCTCTGCTTAGGAGCTGCTCTTTTCAAACCATGTCACTTAATCTAACAAAAGGCTTCTTATATGAATTTTGCTTTGATTTTGCAGAAAGGAGACAGAACGATCTGCAAAGAGCAGAAGGTAGAATAACCCAGGCTTACCCCAGAGGCAGCTGAAAGCAAGTGAAGGCAGGGAAAAGGGCAGGCTCCTCACTTGCAGTCCCAGAACCGAGGGAAGCAGAAGAGCCCTGGGCTGGGCACAGCGACAGCCCCTGGGCACGGGAGGCTCTGGGATGGGAGAGCTCCCAGGTGTAGAGCAGCTCCAGCTGAGGATTTCTGTGGGGCTGACAAAGGCAGTCGCACAAACACCCAAATCCTGAAAATCCCTCTCTAATGACATGCTTTGTCACAGCATCTTCAAGGTGCTAAACCTCGAAGTACTATTAAAGTGTTTTCTTAGTAATTATAGCCACAGGGCAAACTAACAAGATAAACCACGCATCCTTCTAAGAAGCATCAATTTCCTCTTCTCTCTTTCTTCTCTCCCACTCTTCTGTTTCAGGATCTGACTCTTCAGATTTTTCAGCCAGCCTTACCCTAACTTGGTTGCCTTTATTCCTACAGCCCTCCGGGGCAAGCAGAGACAGCTAATGCACACCTGAATAACAAGGGAGGCATCTCCCAGTCTTGTATTTCACCAGGCTTTGTCGCCTCATCTGTCACCACTGCCCACCTAATTTTCTATCCTGATCAAGGAACAATCCTTCCCTCTAAGTCAGCTGCTGTCTCTGCCTGCTCCCACCCTCTTCTGTTAGCATAACTTTTTAACTACTCACGCTGAGTTTGGGTTTAGGTTTAAGTCCTCAGCAAATTAGCTGTTGTCTGATGAAGTCAACACGATTGTCTGTTCCCCATTAAGATGTCACATCAAGTGCTACCAGTGCTCTCCTCAGATAACCTGAATAAGATAATCATTGACATTCTCCCCTTCCTGTTTTTCCCCTGCTCTTCTGTATAAATACTAATAGTATTTTATTTGCTAAATTAGCTAACTTATTTTTCAGAGTGTACCTTTCTTTTCCATGGATTGCTGTCCACGATAGAGATTTGTTGTTGGAATGTTCCCAGCTCTGACCTTGAATACACCGTGGCTCTAACACTACTGAAAACATCAGCTTTCTACTGCCAAATGGAAATCGCTGTCCACTGTCAGATAAGAGATAATGAGTAATAGACAAGCAATAAAAACATTTATGTTTGTTTTTCACTTTTTATGCAAACCCTCTGGTTTTAGCTATCTTGTTAAATCTAGTATTATCTTTGAAAATTAAAATTTTAATATGTTTGGAACAGTTTGTTCCTGGTAAAGCATGAATGAGGGGGATTAAATTATACCTGTATAGACTTTTCTTGGTGATTGGTAATTACACTGTCACTCATGATGCTGTTCATTGCACTTAGCTACATGGAACTGGGTAAAAACATGACATTTTCCCCTGTACTGGACATAATGAGAATCTATGGCTTTTCAAGGAATTGTTCATCAATGAGGTACAGGAGTAAACAAAACATGGGCAAGACGCATTTGGAACACAGGGGTTTTTTTTTCTCTTCAAGCCACAGTATGAGCGACTTATTTTTACCCAGGGCAAGTAGCAGGGGCCAGGTAACCACCCTCACAATACACCCGACAGCAAACAGTCTGCAGGTGCTTGCTGAGAACACAGGCTCACACCCTTCTGCTCACCCATCCTGAGACAGCAAGCCTGCAACCTTGGCTGTGAACATGATTTTTGGGTTCAGTCAAATGCATTCTCCTGATTCTCAATGGGGCTCTGTGTATTGAAAAGCTGTGGTACAAAAGGTGCTGTCCCAATGCAGTGCTTCTACTGAAAACCAAGCCAAACAAACATGGATCTCTGTGGCAGAGAGCCACACTGAGGGAACAGCATTATGTTCTGAAAAGTTTAAAGCAGGAGACAGAAGTTCACATTTCCACGAAACGTCAATTAACTTAATTTGTTGTTGTATCTGACAAAGGACATAGTTAAATCTGGAGAGGACTGAGTGAGTCCACAAAGAATCAAGAGTAACCACTTATGTTCTCAGCAGGCTTGTTTTTGCACCCAAGTTAAAAGTTCTTTGAAACTGGAATGATGCTACAAAACATCCTGGCCTCAGTGAACCCTATCTCGGCACTTAGGCACAAAGTTTCTAATGTATGTTGGCCTCAGCCAACATTGCATCAAGTCTTTTCTCCTACTTTTAATAAATGTCAGTTGTCCTAAACACAGTACTTTGCAAACTGTCAGAGCTTTCAACACTGACCTATAACAGGTATGTTTTAAACACTTTCGGGAGGTTATTCTCTTGCCAGGTCACTGTGACTCGTATTTAAAAAAAACAAATGACATCTCCCTGGTAGCAGTCTCTTTCCTCCCCTTCAACAATGTGCTGTCAATTTAAAACTCTGGAGACTTCTTGCAGCATTATGTAAGCATAAACTTGTTTTTATCGATTGATGTAGCATCAGCACACATGGAACAAGAAGATCAATACAGGGAAGTGCTTACAGTTTGAAAGGAAACACAGAGAAAACTGAGACAACTCAGAGCAGGTGCTGTAACAAATGTTTTTTATCAGCTAGGTGTTGTAGTAAAGTGCCATGGGAAATTCAAGGGGTACTCATAGCTGATATTCTAAGGGAACACCAGTGTAAATTATACCAGTTCATTTAAGATTTCTAGTATTTCTGTATTTAACTGTATCTAATAAAGATGAAACAGAACTACTCCACTATTGCTTATAATCCACATTTGTCACATAGATTATTCATAATCACACTGATAAAAAAACTGCATCTTTACTGATAATGCTTGGCAGGAACATAGGAACACAGACTTTTTATGAAATCATTGTATATTTTCTTCCACTTTGAAGTGGCTGCAGTCAAACTGACACTTGGCAGGAACATAGGAACACAGACTTTTATGAAATCATTGTATATTTTCTTCCACTTCGAAGTGGCTGCAGTCAAAGAGACGCAGTGACTTTTCATAAGAGCAGCAAAGCTTTCACACAGCTGTGCACCTAGACAAATATTAAACCTTCTTTACCAGATTTTGCTGGGCTTGTGTGGCCAGCTGTGGGGAGCAGGGGGGCTGCAGGGGGGCTTCTGTGAGAAGCTGCTGGAAGCTTCTTCCCCCGTGTCCCGTGGGGCCAATGCCACTGGCTCCAGGGCCAAGGCTGAGCCCACCAGTGCCACTGGCACCTTTGGCACAGCAGAGCTAAGAAGATGGGGAGAAACCCGTGGGGAACAACAGCTGGGGTGAGAGGAGGGGAGCCCTGCAGGGCAGGTCAGGCAGGAGAAGCACGACTCAGGGAGCCTGAGAAGCCCACACCCCAGCAGCAGAGGCAGGAAGGAGGCTGTGACCCCGAGGGCAGCCCCTGCTGCAGCAGGTTCCTGGCAGCACCTGTGGCCCCACAGGGGAGGAGCCCACCTGCAGCAGGACTGGTGATGCTGTGGGATGCACCCTGGAGTGACAGGTCCTGGATCAGTGCACCCCTCACCTGCTGTGTGAGATTTCCTGATCCCCCTTTCCCTGCTGGGCTTGCTTAGCTTTACCCCCACACCAATGCATTTAAAGGCTGTTATGAATGTATACAACACCCCAGTCAAACTTGGAGGACTGGTGCTTTCTCAGTGCTGCATGTTTTGAACAAGCAGAGAGATACCAAAACCCTTTGTTTCAGTAGAAAAGCTCTGACACAGCCTAATGCCTTTCCTTATCCGTGGAATTGTCAGGGATGCTGCCGTGGATTGTAAGATCAGTGAAAGGTCTCCTGCAACCTTTGTTGTGGAATTGCTCAGAACCCCTTCTGCAGGGTGTGTCTTCAAAGTGTGGGGTGTGCTTTTTGGAACCATTCACTTCTGAAGTATTTTACCATCAGGCATGATTTTCTTCAAAATTTTAATGTATCTTTACACTCAGTAAAACTTCCTGGTTTAAAACACCTGCCCTTACACAGAAGTACAAAATGCCTCCCTTATTGTGCCACAACACTTTTTTCATACACTTCAAATTTGTACTGGATCCCATTCTCTTCTTGGACATCAGCAGGGACACCTGGGTACCTAGGGAGAGAGGAGAAGAAAAAGCAAAAGCCAGTAAACAGGTAAGAATATCATTATGATTTACCTGTGATTTATCCAATCAACCAGAAAAGCAAGATGTTTTGAAAAAAAAAAAAAGAAAACACTGTCTTTTAGAACAGGTATCCATTTTTAGGACTCATATTAACTACTATCCAAGATTTATAAGCACATCTTTTAGATCAAGAAAGCACTCTTGACACAAAACAACACCCCTGTTTTTGGCTTAAAGAAATACCCAACATTTTCATTAAAGCCTCCAGTATGTTATTCAAAGTACCAACTAAAGAAGAAGAGATTATGGAACACTGTTTTTTTTCCCTTGCCCTGCTTTTCCTAAGTTGGTCTAGAGCAAATGCTAAGGACAAGGCTTTCTACAAGTCTGCAAGAGATTGCTAAACAGGTGATTGCTACCATAGAAAGAGTTCCTCTATATTCCAGGTTTTCTAAACCACTTCTTATTAATAGACGCTTTCAAAAAAATCTTTTCATCTCCCCGTGAAAGAAGAAGGATTTTGTATGAGTAATACTGACTTTGAGGGAGAGATACATTTTAAATTTATTTGGTAAGGTTTGGCATCATCAGGTTTCCACTTCAGCGAGGAAATAACCCGTTATTTTACAAAATCATGTTCTAACACCAATGTTCATTTCAGTACATTGGCCAAAAACAACGTATAGCTAGGAACAGCCGAGAGGGAGCGTTGGGTCAGATCTCAGGACACTCAAATGAGCACAGAGTAGTTCACAACATATTGCAGTTGGAGAAGGTGACTCATCCTCCCCACCCACCTTGTCTGTCCTGCATCCCTCTTCCCTGCCCCTGCCTATCCTCCCCCAGAGCTGTGCTAATCCATTCCTGTGCCCCCGAGGAGAGCTTCACTCCTCATGCTTTCTATTTCTTCTGTTGCTGGTCTGTAGGCAGCTGAAAGCCAAAACAGGAGCAGCAGGAGGAGAATAGGTCTGGTCCTCCCTGGTTCTTGAGGCAGATGCCTGAATTTCTGCTGCTCCTCAGTGCCTGTTTGATGTAATCTTGTTGCAGAGAACATAAAAGCACAACTGGAGTATGACAAGGATAATACACAAGAAACCACAGTGAATGGCAGAAACTGTAAGTTTTTGTACACCTTTTCCTACTATGTTTGTAAGGAAGAAGCAATTTTCTCAAGAGGGAAGGAATAACCTTAGAAATCCATAAAGCTCAAGCCTCTCCAGTCAAGTCAACTTAATTTGTATTTGGCAATTTGTCAAAGACATTCAGATGCCAAATACTATTTACTAACAACATACTAAGAGTTACAAAGCTTAGTAAATATTTGAGTAATTCTAAACCAGGAAACAATAAGAAAAAGCTATTTTTGCAGCAAACTGACATAGACAATTCTTCACTGTGAAGACCATAGGAAAGTTGAAGAACACAGCAACTTCCAAGAAAATCTGTGCAGAGTGTGGTGCCATTCCAGGTTGTAAGTGAAGTATGACTCTGTGAAGAAATTCACCTCAAACTCAAACCAACACAGCCTTAACATAACCCTTAAAACATTCAAATTAGATTATTCTGACGACAGGCCTGATACACATTCTGGTACTTACTCCGTTAGAAGCTTGTAGTCTTTATGGTCAATTTCTGGAAAAAATGTGTCACTTTCAAATTCTTTCAAGATTCTTGTCACAAACAATCGATGATGAATTGGCTTCTCCATTGCTGCCTTTAGAAACAACACAAACTCAGTCACAATTTTATGTATCACAAGCTTTCAGCAAAGCCGTGAAAATTACACTCTGAATCTCCTCTTTTAGACTCTGCTGAAGAGCACTTTCTAAAGGGATAATTTCACCCTGTGTCAGTTCCACCTGGTAAGTGGCAGCAATACCTATTCTCAGAGCCTGGGGTATCTGACAGAAGTTAAGAACAAAATTTGAATAGCCCTGTGAGAAGAAAGGAACAGTAGGCCCAGTAGCAACAAGCAATTTCTGAATCACACCTCTTTGGGAGACAGGAAGGTTTAAGTGGTGAGAGATGCCCACACCACAAAGTAATCTGCTCTGATGCTTAATATCACTGCGAGGGATTTGTGCTGTATTTTCTAGAATTCCAGATATCAATCTACCCCTTAGTTTAACTTCCAAGTTGGATCTCTGGATTGTGGCAACATGGTAACATGTGCTGAAAGCTTTTACATTTCCAAGGTCCTTGGATTAAAATGTTCTAAGATAATGTTTGTTAGGTGAGGTTTTCACCAACAAATTCGGGAGTTTGGAATATAGATTTTGTCGTGAGACTGAAAAATGGCAGCTCTTCCAGACCCTGTGGGCACTAAAATAACCCATGAAAAGCTACACTAGGGCTGGTTACAATACATTTTTGAAAAGCTTGTAGCTGTTCCTCTCCTTCGCTTAAACTGGCAACGAGCAATGCTTTTTGTGGAAGGTGACTCACCATGCAGCAGGCTATTAGGTACTACTTCAACAAGCGCTGGAACCAAGTAATAACAAATGGAATCCAATAAAATTAATTAACCACTGCTGAGAGGCTAATTTGTAGAAAAGCTGCTCTACTAGAGAACAGTTAGAAATGAAAGAGGTAAGTCACAGCACACAAGCATCGAACAGCACTGAACTGGTGTCCATCCAGTTTGTACACAAACACTAGTATTTTTCTTTGTTTAGGGACAGGGAGGTAAGAAGAGTCACACCTGCAAAACGACAGAATAATAATCTGCCTCACAAATAAAAACATGTGTTCTGTAAACAGAGACACTTTTGCTTTGTAGCAGAAGAACAAGCCAACTTCCTACCCAACCCTGTGGGAATCCAGCTTCATCAAGAACTCTCCACCACCACAACAGGCCAGGGAGGAGCACAGGGAGGGACCGACCACAGGCGGTGCAGAGGAAGTTAAATTTAATCCCAGGGAGACCAGATGGTGACCTCTGTTCTAGGGACATGGTTTCATCAGCTGAATGAACCAGCCAGCTGTGTCACTGTCCCCACACTCACAGAAGAAATGCAGATGCTTCCTCAGTTTGCCAGACGGGCTCTGTGTGTGTAGGTGGCCCACGACCAGTAAACAGCAAACAGAGAAGAACTTGGGGAAGAGCAACAGGCTCAGGCTGGTTTTGGGCCACATACTGCTCCTCAGCAGCTGGGAGTGCCCAGTGCAAGGGGCAAGGACAAACACGGTTCTCCATGGTTCTCTGCTCCATTCAGGGCAACTTTCTCCTGATTTGGGATTTCAGCACACACTTAATCAGCCACTGGCTGCCATCCTGACCCAGCCCCAGCCTGGTCACCCCCAGGCTGTGCCTGAGCTGGTTATGGTCATGGGGCCAGACCCTGCCTCATGGAGCTGTCCCACCACCCCGAGCCCTGCCACTCCAGCTACTGCCATGGGGACAGCTCCTGCTCCCTTGGGAACACCTGGTCCTCCCTGTTCTCCAGAAGCAACTTCATAAAACCTCAGATAAGTGAATTTTGTATCAAACACAAAACCCTCCACAGCTGGAACCTCCAAAGGAGTCTGTTCAGGACTCTGACACTGCCTCAGTGAAATACTGCTGAGGACATGGCAGGGGGGCAAAAGAGTTTTGTCGTAATGCTGTCCTTTCCACAAGGAATAGAGTAGGTCCTCACTGATATTCAATTCAGTCTTGCCCTGTCCAGCCCACTCCATTGGTTTCACCTTTTTTTTGGGACGGAAGAGAAATCAGAGGAGGCACAGAGCTGAGCTGGTGGAATGCTGATAGACTCACTTCACACATCGTAAAACCACACCATACACATAAGGAAGCTGACATCTGGGTCTGTTGGTTTTTGTGGATTTGTATGTGTGTGTTTTTGTTGTTGGTTTTGTTTGTGGTTTTTCTTTTAACATCACATTTAATATTGGATGGACTTAGAGGTGCTATTCCTAGTAAAACATCTATGTTGTTTTTGACCCATCTAAACCACACAGCTTAAATGCAGTTAAAAGAGACTGATACAACTTACACTGCGTGGACTCAGAGTAACGTGGTCTAGTGGAAGGTGTCCCAGTCCATCACAAGAGGTTTGGAATGACATGAGCCTTCAAGCCCTTTCCAGCCTAAACCCTTTTTTGGGCTTCTGACCCACCCAGGATGTCCAGAGAGCACTGTTTTTCAGAGTCAAGGCGAAGACCTGAACCTCTCAAGAGACAATACCTCCACACAGGTGCAGCAGTGTCTTAACTCAGAACAGAAACCTGGTTTTGAAATCACCACTGTAGAATGGGGAAGGTTGGTGGACAATTGTAAAATTGCTAAGGTTGGAAGAGACTTCCAAGATCACTGTTCACCTGTTAATGAATCTTCCAACTGTCCCCACTCACCATGCTTGAGTTGTATGTGGGAGCAGGTTTGATACCCATGAAGGAAATGTCTTGGGGATGAAACGGAGCCAGAAGCTGTGCTCCAGTACATCTGATGAGCTTTAAGCTGTGAGGGACTCCAGGGCCAGCACCAAAGAGTGAGCCAGCACCACAAACCCCCAGCACACAGGAAGCACTCACAAACCAGCAGACAGCCTTCCAAACATCAAGTGCTCTCACAGAATCAGAGTGCCTGCCATGATGTGTAACAGCTCCATAACTGCTGTAACCCACTGCTGGGCTCCTCCTTCCTCATCCAGGCAGACAACACCAACCCCAGCTCCTCCTGGAGCTCAGGAGATCCAGAACAGTGCACATGGATGACATTGCACTACTATCCAAGCAAATTAACCTGGTACGTCTGTGCTGTCAGAAGCCCAAAAGCTTCCCTGGGGGCATCACTACTGCCCTGTGGCTACATTAGCAGATATTAAACCTGATGAGGGATCAGTGTCCAGTCAAATTCAAGAAGATGACACCCACATAAGTTCTTCTGAACCCTCACTGAGCTGATGGAGCTGTTTTCAATCTTTCCTGCTCTCACTTGCCAATACCAACACTCCACCCAGCCTCTCCCTGTCCCCACTGCTCCCCCTTTCCCTGCTGCAGAGGTCAGGTAGGTTTTCCTAGAGTGTGTGAGCACAGCATCAGTGTGACCTACACGAGGGCTTGGCTGGCCCCCACAGCTCACAGAGAGCCTGAGGCAGCTGATGCCAATCCTCCCACACCCTGGAGAGAACCGTGTCCCTGAGAACCAAGGGGCAGTGGGAGAGATGGCCAGAGCCAACAGAGGGATGCTCTGTGTCCTTACAAAATTCACAGATTTGGCCCTCCCTCTTCTGCAGTCTGAGGAGCAAAAGGATGTGAACAGCAACAAACCCCTGCCTCCATCCCACTCCTGGCAGGCAGCATCCTGTCCCAAAATGGCATCTGGAGCATGCTGCAGTACCCTGGCTTGGCTCAGTTCCTAAAGGCTGGAGAGGGCATCTCAGCCACCTGTAGCTGAGACTGCCTGGACAGCTGGTTACATTAGCAGATATTAAACCTGATGAGGGATCAGTGTCCAGTCAAATTCGAGAAGATGACACCCACATGAGTTCTTCTGAACCCTCACTGAACTGATGGAGCTGTTTTCAATCTTTGCTGCTCTCACTTGCCAATACCAACACTCCACCCAGCCTCTCCCTGTCCCCACTGCTCCCCCTTTCCCTGCTGCAGAGGTCAGGTAGGTTTTCCTAGAGTGTGTGAGCACAGCATCAGTGTGACCTACACGAGGGCTTGGCTGGCCCCCACAGCTCACAGAGAGCCTGAGGCAGCTGATGCCAATCCTCCCACACCCTGGAGAGAACCGTGTCCCTGAGAACCAAGGGGCAGTGGGAGAGATGGCCAGAGCCAACAGAGGGATGCTCTGTGTCCTTACAAAATTCACAGATTTGGCCCTCCCTCTTCTGCAGTCTGAGGAGCAAAAGGATGTGAACAGCAACAAACCCCTGCCTCCATCCCACTCCTGGCAGGCAGCATCCTGTCCCAAAATGGCATCTGGAGCATGCTGCAGTACCCTGGCTTGGCTCAGTTCCTAAAGGCTGGAGAGGGCACCTCAGCCACCTGTAGCTGAGACGTGTCCCAGACGTGCACTCAGACAGCAGGGCATCTGCTGCTCCTTGGCCCAGCTCCCTGGATGGGGCAGGTCTGGCTGCTGCTCCAGCACGCCGTCTGGGCCAAGCAGAGGGCACAGCAGGGCAGGTGCCAGGACATCCTGAACAGCCCAGGGCACCCCTGGGGGTGTGGAAACAAAAGCCAGCAAAGGCCTGGAAGGTCATGGCACACTCCCTGCTCACTCCACCTACAGAAGCAGGGCTGCAGGATCGTTCCCAGAGCTTGTGACAACAGCCCTGATCAGGATGGAGCCCCCAAGGCAAAGTGATGAACTGCTGATACGGTGCTAAGGCTAGGAGCTGTGCTGAAAGGCTGCACAGGACTATAACCACTGTCTGAAATAACCACGTGGGCCCTGGAGGTGTTGTCTGGCAATGGCAAGGCTGCTGCTGCAGCTTCTGACAGACACCCTCAGCTGAGCACCCTCACATCCTGTGCATTCTGTGTCTGCTTCCTATTCCCTGGAATCCAGTGGAATGGCACCAGACTGAGCTCACTGTGCCCAGGACTGTCACCATCTTATTTTCTGAAAAATCTCTTTGCCCAGGATTTCTTCTCCTGGGAAGGTGAGAGGCTTCAGAGAAAAATGAAAACAACAATTATCTGATTTGCTTCTCCTGTTTTTGCTGCTTAGGAATGTGGTAGGTGATTGTTTCACTGGTTTCATGTGAATTGTTTTTACTTAATGACCAGTCACCGTCCAAGCCCTGGAGAGGGTCATGAGTTTTCATTATCATTCCTGTTAAGCCTTCTGTCTGTATCCTTTCTCCATTTTTAGTATGGTTTTAGTATAGTGTTCTTTGAAAATTAATATAATATAATATAAACAATAAATATAATATAATATATAATATATCTAATCTAATCCAATCTAATATAATATGTAATGATATATCAGCCTTCTGAGAACATGGAGTCAGATTCACTCATCTCTCACTTTGCCCTGGGGACCCCTGCCAACCCTGGAGGCAGAACCCACTGGGAATCTGCAAATCTGCCACCTGCAAGTGCTTCCCTTGGTCTAAAAGGGCAGCAAGGAGCTCTCATGTGAGCATCCTTTCTGTTTGACAGCAGAAAGTATAAACAGACTTGGTTTTCTGTAAGACAGTCCTGTAACAGCCTGAATAATCAAAACTGGGTAGGTTTGTCATAGACAAGCACAGACCTGTATTAATGAACAAAACCAGGTCTCAACCTTTGAGCCACACAAACTAGTGAAATCAAAATAAGGCTTCAAAACCAAATACCTACAACTACTGAATAAAATTATTCACCTCAATTTACCAACTGCTATTTTATTTCCCACACATTTCTACATGGCATAATGGAAATATTCCTGTAAAATCCTTTGTGCATCTTTAACAAAGGCACTAAAAATATTACTTGTAGTTTTGGCAGATGTGTATGGTCACCATAAAACCCTTCCAGTTACCACCACAAAGGTAGTTTGAGTGCAGGAATCTGTATAAAACTGTCAGATTTCTCCCTAACGTAATTAAACTTTCCTTAGAAATGTCTTGAGTAGATGACTGAAAGGGAGGAAACAGCTGAAATTTTAGAACAACAAAAGGGTTTGGGTTGGACAGAACCTCAAAGCTCATCTTGTTTCATGGCAGAGACACCTTCCCCTGTCCCAGCCCCAGTGTCCAGCCTGGCCTGGGGCACTGCCAGGGATGCAGGGGCAGCCCCAGCTGCTCTGGGCACCCTGTGCCAGCCCTGCCCACCCTGCCAGGGAGCAATTCCCATTGCCAAGATCCCAGCCAGCCCTGCCCTCTGGCCCTGGCAGCCATTCCCTGGGTGCTGTTCCTCCATGCCTTGTCCCCAGTTCCCCTGCAGCTCTCCTGGAGCCCCTTTAGGCAGTGGAAGGGGCTCTGATGTCTCCCTGGAGCCTTCTCTTCTCCACAATGGACATTCCCACCTCTCTCAATGCTTGTCCACATCCAGGGTAACCAGGTCTCCTATTACTTTACACATTCCCTTGTACTGACCAGCACAAACAGCACATTCCAATTTATTCTCTGTCAAAACTGCCAATTTGTAATGTCAGTATTGGTGAGTAATGGTCTAAAAAAAGGCATTATTTTCTTCCAAATACCAGAAGCCTCCAGGACAGATGCTCTTGGAAGAAGCAGCAGAGGCAAAAACTCTTTACAGCTGAGCCTGTGGCAGGGAAGGGGCAAATGCTGCTGCTCACAGCTGGCTCTGGCTCTGCCCTCTGTGAGAAGTCTCTCCAGAAACCCTCTGTCATGGCAAAGAGCTCAGGATATTTCTTCTGTAGGATAACACCTGATTATAGGCTGAATGGGTTTGCACATGCCACACATGGTGGACTTCACCACGAGGAACCATGGGTGCCTCATCTTCTTACAATCTTAGCAATCTACTCCACTGCTTCTGCTGTGTAAGATGCATTTCCTCAGACAAAGAGGAGAGATTCAGGAAGAGCACAAAGAGTAAAGGCACAAAGTACCAGGAAAATGCACTTTCTACCCCGTGCACAGGGCACAGTATCAGCCCTGATCTCCCACCAGGTGCATTATGGCACTGCCATCACACATCTCATGTCCAAGTGCCCAACAACAACTGCAGTGCACCTCCCAGCATGCCTGTAATGACTACAGCACAGCAGCACTGCTCCTTTTACTGTTAAATAGAATTTGCTTCACAATCCTTGACCCAGGGAGTGGGAGCAGCAGGAACACTGCTGGATGGGAAGGCAGAGTGAGTGCGACCTTTTGTTGTGTGGTTATCTCCTGTTATTGCTGACACCATGACCTGTCAGCTCTCTCTAAATCCTATTTTCTTCCCCATTTACATGTACAAAGCGTCATACTCCAGCTAGAAATGCTGGAGCACTTCTCCTTTTTTTTCTTTTCAAACCCATTGCGGGGTCAGCCAGCAATCTCAGTAAAATAAATACAAAAACATGGGCTCAGTAAAATAAACATAACAATATGGGCTTTTTCTGAAGAATCCAGCAATTTAGGTATTTATGAAAAGCTCTCAAAAGCACAACAACAGTGTGACACTGGCCCTGCTGGCAAGAGCAATGTTCAGTTTCTAGACAGGAATTGTGAACTTGAGAGCTGAGATCCTACTCTCTGAGACCTGTTCTGCTGCAATCACTGCAGTTTGCTGGTAATATGAAGGGAAAGCACCTCCTAAAGCAGCAGTAATAGGAGCTTCATCCTCATCCCATCACAGAAAATTAGTAATTTAGGAGGAGGCTAAATGTACCTTGTACACTGAAGTGCCTCCCACGATCCAAACCATGTCTACTTTGCTTTGTAACTCTGGTGAATCCAAAAGAGCTAGAGCATCATCCAGACTTTTGGAAAGATAATGTGCTCCTTCCGGGGTTTCCCTAGAAAAAGCAGAGCTCTATTACTAAATAAGTCAAGGACAATTCATCACACACTCTAGACACAAAATGTGCTTCGCTGAATTAACAAATAACTACATGCAGCTCGCCAGTTAATTATTTTGAAATGCCTGTTATTGCCAAATTATGTTAGAAGTCTCATCTGACTGTAGGATTGTTCAACAGATCACAGCTTAACTGTCATTTAGGAGGCATTATAAATTGAGAATCTGGAATTCCAAGTGTTTCTGAAAAAGAGTAACTGAGAAATTTACAACTCTATAAGATAAAAACACAATCTATAAATCAAACATAGATCATTAAATACAGATAATCAAGAAATAAAATGTAGATTTTTACTTGAATTTCAGAACGTTAATATTTCAATCAACAAAACCAGCTGAAAAGCCAATATTCTCACATAATCACCTGCAAATCTACCAACATCCTCCAAAGCAATAAAGCACTACAAGAGGACAATTGTGTTTAAAAATATTTGCGTGGCTGTGGCTCATGCATTCAAGAAGTTCTGAAAAAGGATTGTTCATCCACAAATCCTAATAAAAATGGATTTCAAAAAATGGACTTGGGGGCCACCAGTGTGAGCAGGAACTAGAGAAATACAGGTAAATACATGAGTCAGAAACACTACTGAAAATTTTCAAATGGTTTGTGAGTAGAGCTAGAAGTAGTACTCATGATGCAAAGTAAAGACAATCACCTTGTGAATGAATTCTAAATAATTAAAAATTCAGAGTACAGTAGTCATAACACTCAGAACCAACAGCAGAAATGCTTTCTAAACAGGTATCAAAAAATGGTACATTTGGAACTACTGTGTGTTGTAACACTACAGACATTTCTTGGTGCAGGTATTTATTTGTTTTACAGGGTCCTTATCTGTCATACTTACTTGAGCTCCCTGCTGAGCACGATATTAATCCTGTCTTTTAAAGGACGGTTCTTCTCAGGAATGGAGAACCACGTTTTCTTACCCATTATCACTGCATTCTGTTTACCTGAGCAGGAGAGAATTGATTTGAACTGTTTAGAGGCACTGATGGACTTCCCCTGCCTTTCCAAGCCCCTCTGCAGCAGCTAGCAAAAGCACAAGCTCAGGCCCCAGTTCTCAAATGAGAACTGATTTACAAACCCACAACAATTTCTAGGAGAAAAGCCAGTCAAATTAAATCTAAAGCCAAAGTGCTACAGGTGATCAATCATATTCTAACATTCACACATAAATGCAATTTCTGACCAAACCAAATAATTCATAACCTGATTACCTCTCATATGTAAATCTCTTAAGGAAATTAATGTTCCTCTTTATGAGAAAAGGGAGTTCCTTTTAAAAAATATTTCAAAAAGTTTTCTCTTTTTATCAAGAGAAAAAAACCCACAATGCCAACATGGTCACTCTTTCCACGTTGTTTCCAGGCTGAGACACAAGAGAGACAAAGGTGACATCCCTGGTGTGAAGATTTATGGCAGCATAATCTATTAAGAAGTCTGGTTATGAAGCACTTCACCTGCCTAGCATCTGAGATCACAGCTCATCAAAAGATCTGCAGGCAGGACAGAGCAAAATGTTTCTTTGTAATTATATTTCAAACATCTTTTTTCTTGATCACAGCTTATTCCTGCCAGGTAAGACGCAACTTGCAGACATCTAAAAAGACTTACAACTGCCAGTTGTGTTCTGCCCTTTTTTAGTACATACAGGGTTGAATCAGGTCTTCTGAACATATGCAAAGTCTTTTACTCGGAACTGTTTCAAACTGAGATTAGACATTCCTTGTGGATTATGGAACAGACATTCAAATCAGAAAATTGAATAAATTGCTTAATCAAAACAGAGTTTCAAGGCAGAAAATGGAGTAAGGCACCTAATCAAAACAAGGGAATATGTGAAGCTGACCAGAAGTGAGTTTTTATCAAACAAGTGAGTTTTGACAGCATAAAAAAATCCCTAAACCAACCATGAAAAAGTGACCACGCTGACAAACAACTGCGGTATTTCTGCTCCATAGTTTGGACTTTCTGGTGCATGGATTTGGCTCAGCACTCAGAAAACTCGGCAAAATTACTGTCACAAGGGTCAGAGGGGTGGGTCGAATGGCCAAGGCTGATCCACAGCAAACAAGTTAGATAAGCTAACGCAGACTGAAAAAAACAAACCACCCCTGCTAATTAATGTGACAACCTTCCCATTTGAACTTGGAGTTTTGCGTAAAGATTAGTTAGGTAAAGTTTACATCAAGTTTTCCGTTCTTCTGATGGAAGAAGGACTTGAAAACTGCTCCCTAAGAGATCACCTGCATTGCTCTGAAATACCTGCTTCGTCTTCTTCCCTCATCTAACCCGACCGATTGCGAAGGGCTGAAATACAGGTGGGAAACAGGTGAAATACTTGTGAGGGCAGGCAGGGAAATGCGGAATCCGAGTTTCGGGTGCCTCACCCCCCCACACGTTACCTTCCACACGGGACGTGCTCGTCATTCTCTGGAAGTACTTGTACTCCTTCCTGCCGGGGAAGCACCAACTGCGTTACAACGTGTCTTAAGAATAAGCTCTCTAATTTTTATTTTTTTTAAATTTCTGCAAGTTCTCTAATTTCAACGAAAAACCCCCACTCGTGATGGGAATGTTGCAGGAGCCCGGCGAGGGGCTGTTGGACAGAATTGGGCCGATGCCACGGCCGAGAAGGGACCTTTGTCCCACAGCCGTACTCGCACGAGCGATAACCTGAGGCCAGGGCATGAGAGAAACCCCACGCAAAAAAACAACCCCACAGCCGCGCTCCCGCCACGCCGCCGCTTTCCCGCCTCACAGCGCACCCCCTCGAACACTACAGCCCCCAGCGTGCCCCGCGCCGCGCACCAGCAGGCGGGCGCGGCGGGGCCGCGCGGGGCACGCTGGGGGGGCGGGGCCGCGGGGCAGCCGGTGCTGAGCAGGTTCTTCGGGGCGGCGGCGAGCGGCGGCGAGCGCGGGCCCCGCGACACGGTGCGCAGGGCGGGGCGGGGCGGGCACGGCCCGCTGCACCGGTGTCCATCCCGGTGTCCATCCCGGTGTCCCTGAGCGGGGCACGGGCACTGAGGGCCTGGCTGCCCGGTCCCGGCTCTGCGATCTGTGTGGGCACTGGTGCTCCGGGAGCAGCCTGGCAGGAAGGACAATGAGCTGCTGCAGAGGCTCCAGGGCAGCCCCAGAGAGGATTTGGGCTCTGCAGCAGCTCTGGGCTGGGCTGGGCAGGCTGCAGAAGGGAACACCGAGGGGGATCCCTCCATCCACCCAGCCAGACATCTGCCAGGGCTGCCAGAGCACGGGCAGGCTCTGCTCAGGGCTGCCAGGGGCAGCAGCAGCAGCAGTGGCCATCCCAGGCAGGGCAGGCAGGGGCAGCAGCAGGAGGAAGAACTTGTGTCCATGGAGGGGCAGAGGCCTGGAGCAGCTGCCCAGGGAGGGCCTGGAGTGTCCCTGTGTGGAGCCATGGCAGCCCCAGCTGGGCACGGGGCTGTGCCACTGCCCAGGGCACCCTGCCTGGCCTGGGGAACCTCCCAGCCCCAAATATCCTGGGATTCTGTGGGACAGGGTGTGCCTGTTGCGGAGGAGCTGGAGCTTGGCACAGGTTTGCTGATCTGGGCACGGCCAGCATGTTGGTCCATGTCACTGGGGCTTCACTCCAGTGTTGAACCCCTGTGCCTTCCAGTTCTGCAAAGTGTGGAATATGCTAAGATTGCCATAAGTAAGGATGTTCTCTGAGGTTTGATCTTTGAAGCCTGATCAGCCAGAAGTGGGACCTGATCAGTCTGACCTGATCAGTGGGACAGGCAGCAGCTGCATCCCTTAGCCAAGGGCTCCTGCAATTAGCAGGTTTTAGGGATGTAAGTCAGGATGTTGGTGCAGGCCATGCCTGGCAGCCTGGTGGAAATGCTCAGGCCCACCTGTGCTGAGGGCAGAAGCAGACCCAGCCCTGCAGTCAGACAGCCCCGGGCCCTGGGGCAGAGGGGCAGGGCTGGGGCAGATCCCAGCTCTGTCTTTGTGTCAGGAATGTCGAAATGCTCAGGCCCACCTGTGCTGAGGGCAGAAGCAGACCCAGCCCTGCAGTCAGACAGCCCCGGGCCCTGGGGCAGAGGGGCAGGGCTGGGGGAGATGCCAGCTCTGTCTTTGTGACAGGAACGTTGGAGAGGGCAGGGGCTGGTGGAGCACCCGCTGTCTCTTTTCAGGATGTCACAGTCGGCTTGTGGCACTCTGAGGAATGAATCCCATTTTTGGGCAGCTCTGGCATGCTGTGAGCCGTGCTCCTGTCCCAGGTGCTGGAGCTCAGGTGGCTCGGGGTCTGAGTGCTGGTGGGTGCACGGCCAAAACAGCCTGCAGTGATGCAGATCCTCCTGTGTCAGCACTGGGAAAAGTGGCTGTGTCTCAGCAGCTGGATTTCATTCTGAGTTTGTATTTTCCACTCTCCCTGTAGTTACTGTTTCCAGCCCCTTCTGGCCCTGGAAGGGTGTTTGCTTTTTTTACCTGTGACTCCAGTCAGCTGTTTTGGTCCAAATATGTCTTGAAAGGTGTGATTACATCTTTCTGCCCTAGTAGAATAAACTTCCTAATTAGCGTTACTTTGGTGTTATTTAACAGTGGACTTGAAAACTGCTACTCATGGGCTGTGGTTATGTGGAGGTTTTGAGGCTGGAGTTCCTGCTTAGCTCTAGGGAAACTGAAATTCCATGGTTAAACCATCTGTGGTCATGAGGTGAGATGTGGATGCCAGCTGCTGAAAGCACCTGTTGTGTGCTTCTGTGCAAAGTGTTTATGTTTTGTTGGACTTAAAAGTTATTTCTTCATATTTGGTCAAGCTTCTTGCAAAAGGTCAATGATGAAACAGCAAAACTGGTGAATTTTCTGTTTACATAGTGTACTAACTGCATGTTTCAAAAGACATCTAAGGAGCAGGGTGCTCCAAGCTCCTCCATCCTGGCCATCAGCAATACCAGGGGTGGGAGGTTGGACTTTTTTGCCTTAACTTACTGTGAGGTTGCTTTGTTCTCTTTCAGAGAGGAGCAAACAGAAAAAAGTAACTGAACTGACTAGTTTAATTTACGTTTCAGGCTTCTAAATGTGGCACAAAAAGGAGCGCATCTACTGAAAGCAATGCACCCTGTGAGAAGAAGACCAAGGCACGACAAATTACTCTGACAGAGATCTGTAACCCACTGAAGGCTCAGGATAAAAGTGAGTTGACTCTTAGCAAACCTTCCAGCATTGGCAGCCAGTAAATAAGGTTTTCTTTGTCAGCTGCTCCATTGCCTCAGAAATGCCTGGGTTCCATCTGGCTTTGAGCAGAGAATTTAATAAGTTAATGCTGGTATGAAAACCAGTGAATGTAAAGTTCATTACATTTCAATAGGAAGAATTAGCCTCTTGAGTTTCAGAGTGGGAACGGTATTAAATTTGTTGGTGTGGTGCTTTGAAGTATCACTAGTACCCCCTCAAGAGGCAATACTGTCTGCTTAAATAAGTGCATTGAAAGAAAATCTGCTTGATTCCCAGTATTCTTAGCTAACTTCATGGCTGTGCAGTTGTCAGTTTGAAAAATAATGATGCATCTTTTCCCACACAGAGAGAGGCACACAAGTGAGGAATGGTTGTGTCTGTGCTTACTGATGTTCTTCTAATAGATGTTCTCTTTTAGAAAATAAGTTGTTAATATATTTTTGTTGTGAATTTTCACCAAAGAAGAATCTCAGAAGCGTGAGAAGTCCCGTATCTGTTTGGAAACTCTGGGCAGGCTGAGAGAGTTCTGCAGTGATTCAAGCCAGCAGTGCACCAGCCTCCAGGAGGATGGCTTTCAGGAGAAAGAAAAACTTCCCAGTGCTACTGGGAGGAGCTCAGAACTGAAAAATCCTCTTCCATCTTGGGACAGCAGCCCAAAGGTCACACAGAAGGTATGCAGAGCTGTGGCCCTGTGGGGTGTGTGGGTTGCTTGTTATGAGTTGAACCAGCAAGCTTTGGCACAAGCTTGCCTTTGTGCTGCTGTGCTCTGACGTGGAATGGTGCAGCAGATCCCCACAGGGCTGTGTTTGTGTACAGGTGTTTTGCTGAAGCTCCTTGCAGGGTGAGCAGGTTGGCTCGTTGGCTCCTCAGTGAACAGCAGCACCATGATGGAACAGAAGCCCTGTTGGTGTCACCTGTGGGGGAAGCTGTACCCCCCTAATGACACATGCTCAGAGAGGCACTTTGCTCAGCTTGCTTTCAGTTCCTCACACGGGCTCTCAAATTTCCAACAGGTTTTCTTTGCAAAAATGTTTTGTAGGGTTATCACTGAGATGTGGCTTCATCTAGTTGCTGGTAAATTTACTTAGTAAAGATATCACTGCTTTTTCATCTGCAAGAGGTATGGGTAGCTCACAGAAAAAGTTGTCATGATGACATGTATGGTGCAAGTCAAGGACTTGAGTGGAATAATAGTATTTTGCTTCCCCTTTACTTATGGGGGTAGTTAACATTAGTTAATGGGGTTTGGGGTCAGCTGCTCAGGTCCTAGGATGCATCTCATGGCTTACTGTGGTGGCTGCTCTTTAGTGGAGCTCTGCAGCTGGCTTTTTGAGGGAAGGAGCTTGTATGAAGAGCTGATTGTAACCTTCCCTGTGTGAGGGCTGTGGTCTTCAACAGAGGGGTCTGCTCTGTGTGGATGTGGTGTCCAAATGAAGTGAGCAGCTTGTGGCAAGAGAATTCTCTTGTGGTAAGGGGTTGAGGTTATGAGGATGTGGTCAGTTGGAGAGCCCAGAAAACTGATTTTTCTTATCTTCCTTGGTCCTTTTAGCTGTTTGTGTCCTGCTTTTTCTTGGTAACCTTCCTCCAGCTGGTAACTTAGACCATCTCAACAAGTCAGCTTTGGCGTTTGTTTCTACTCCATTTGCCTTTTTACATGCCCTTGTTTCATGTGGTTTGTCATGACAGTTTCCTGTAAAATGAGACAGGGTCACCCTGTTTGGCTGGCACAGACCTTGGACCAAGAGTGCTGAGTCTGTGAGGATTGTGCAGCAGAGACATCTGAGCTCCTGAAGCCACCCAAGTTCTGGGTGCAGGGCAGCTTCATTTGAGCTGGGCTGGGTTCTCTGGCTTAGTGGTGTGCAGTTGTGGGATTTTGCAGTTACAGCTAAGTGCTGTTTTTCCCTGGCTGTTCTCTGACTGCACACTTTGTACATTCCCATGACCCAAAGTATATAAGTATATATGATTTAAGCTCTGTTTGATTTTTTTTTTCCTGAATTACCATTGCTACTAAACAGTCTGTTCACTTTGTTTCTTGTAATCTGAACAGGACCCCTGGTCAGATGACAAGAAATGGAAGTTTATTGGATTTGTTTGCAGATGCAGAGTTTATAGCACAACGTGATTAATTGTGTTTTAAATAGTCATATGCTTAAACAAATTCTGGAGGGTGTTGTGTTTGTATTTTTTTTAATCAATATTATCTGTACTTGATCTTGTGATATAAGTGAGGAGGAATTTTGCTGTAAGTGAAACACTTTCCAGTATTTATCTCTTCACTTCTGAACCCATCACTCTGCTGGCCATACAGAACAGCACAGCGTGGTAGAGCTGAAGTTGCTTGGCAAGAATAGGCTACATAATGTCATTGCAAATGATAAACTGCAGATGGAGTGAGCTCAGAGCATTTCACATTTCAGGTTTTAGAAACTGTAGTGCTGATTTTCTGTGTTTAAGTTGTTCTGGAGAAGGAGTACAAGTGCTGATTTTCTGTGTTTAAGTTGTTCTCAGGGGTTTGCTGAACTTTTGGAGGAAGTGCAGACTGG